AAGCCTTTTGTATGCGCGGTTTATTTTTTGCTAAATACACCAACCCACCATAAGCCGGTGGCATTTGAAATATTACGCAGCCATAAATCATTGGAACCTTCTACAGTCGGATGCTTCCACTCTTTCTCAGGTGTCTTTGATGTTTAGGGCTGGCAAATACGCACTCTCTTCATAAAGCAATCAATTTTTTTCCGATAAAACCGTTAAAATCCTAGTTTATTTTCTTCGGCCATAATTCATCATGGGTTTCACTTGGGCATGCTGTTTGCTTTGGCATTAACTCGCAGGACTTTATGTTTATTGCACGCAATGTTTTGTTAGTTTTTCGCGGAAAACTACTGTTTAACGTGTTGTTCGCACTCATTTACCTGCCTCGGTTTCCTGCAAAGGTAACGTTTATTTATATGCCCAGTTGGTTTACGATTGCCAAAATGTTTGTTTAATGCCGATTCACAAGGGTAAGTAATGGCAGTTGGATAAATCTGTTGAAAACCTATTTACAACACGAATTTTAGTAGATTTACGCCGCAGGTTGGTACTGTTTCCAAAAAAACGTCTTTGGAGAGAGAAGTTACACCCAATTTCAGTTTCTTGAGCCGAAAACTATCAATTGAACTTGAAAAACACCCATAAGAAACGTTGTTTTTGGGTCGGCTTTCTGTTTTTTTGAACAAACTCAAGTCAAACTTTAAGACTTACGACGATTTAGCAAACTTGTCACTCTTGGACTAAAAATAAAAGTGGCTTCCTTCAGCGCTCTGTTCTTTCAAATCCTCCTCACGTGTGAACCGACAGCTCTCACCGTCCATCAGGCATTAATTATTATAAATAAGTCACTCGGGGAAAATCAGCCTCGTAAATTCCTATTGGAGATGCATTTTAGAGGCAATTGACAGCGTTTTGCCTTCACGATGGTCACTTGTAACGGTTAGTTGATATAGGAACACTCTGGTAATAACTTAAACCTCCAACTGGTGATGTTATCGTTCATTTAATACGATCGTCGTGATATTCGGACAGCCGATCAGACGTTTAGATTTCCGTGATTATACAAAGAGTGGTTGATCGTCTAAGACCAATTTCACGATTTTATAGGCAAGAAACGCAACTAATTGCCTTCAGGTGCGATACCGAAAGGCCTTAAAGAACTGTCTCATATTCAGTTGTAGGCAAATAATCGTTTCACTTCAGACATATCAATTATTGCTCCCCTTGCACCTTCCGACATGCTTAAAAGCAATTGCACCCGAATTGGGCTGTTTGAAAAAGGGTCGCAGGATGCAAGGCCGGATACTGAAGTCATTTGATACCCTTGTTCGAGTCGAAGGGGGTGAAATAATACGACAATTAATCTGTTTAAATCGTTCACAATGGGCAGTGAAACAAACATCGCAATATAAAATATTTAAATCGATTGATTGGTGCTTCGGTGTGGTCCGAGTCTATTTAAATTTTTCGGCCTGGTTTTGCAGCCATTTCCCTAACAAAACAACTTTCATTACTCTCAATAGTTGTTGCTCTCTCACAAGCGACTCACAAAGCAGTGTGGGCAGTTGCTAATGTAAAAAACCTTATCTAAACACCTTTTAGTATCGACGTCGCATAAGAGCCAAGCTAAAAGTATTCTTATGCTAATTGGCCGTCTATGGAGTGTCGCTACTAATTAAAAGCGCACATTTTATTAGTTGATGATTTAATTTATTTGATTTTGCTGGGTTATGTCAACAACTACCTAATAGTTGAGTGGATAGAAAGTTATTGTTTCAGCTTGTTCATAACAGCGCTTAATTTGGGCATCTTGATGAGAGCCACTTTCGAAGCGAAGGAATTATTCA